GTTTGCCAGTTCCTTTCCCCCAACCCCCAAAAGTTTTTAGTTTGCCAGTTCCTTTGATGTTCCCCTTAACCTTGGAATTAATCTATGCTCAGCTGGATCTTGATTGCTGATGGAAGTGTTTTGGTCTTTTCATTACCTTTTTGGCTTACTAGCACTGATGACTGTACAATAAAGGTTCATTTCCAAATGGCAACTAGACTTTCTTGGGTTTGTTTTCCCTTGAAAATGTTTTGCTTCCCATCCAAGGAGCTTCTTCAGTGCTCACTGAATGTTGGGGAGTATGATAATGTTATGTAATTTGTGTAATAAAATATCTGGAAGAAAACAACCAAAACAAAACAACCAAGCTCAGAGAACATCACAGACATCTCATTTCAACCCCGAGCTACACATATTCTCCTTTATTGTACAGCATTGTTTGCTTTCCTTAGAAACGCAATGAATTGTTGCCAGCACAGGAAATCTGTTCCTATTTTCAAATCAGATTAAGAATGGGCAATGTTGCAACTCCAGATAATGTAAGTCTGATGTTTCTACCATCTTTTTCTGCTAATAGTGATTGCTAAGAGCACAGCATCCATACAATAGGCGGCTGGGTTCATTTCTAATCATGTTAAATCTTGTTTTATTTCACCTTACTGTAGCAAAGAAACAGTAGTTGTCTAGATGCATACTATACATTTGGATTCAAACGGGAAATTTTCCTCTGAATGTGCTGAATGGCCTTTTATAGTAGCTTTGTTTTCTTGGGAGGACATAACTAGTGTGCCTGTGTGCATTCTGATGCACCTTTTCTCCTTTTGTATCCCTAGTGCTGCACAGCCTTAATATTCATACCACCAAAACTAGAGAGATGATATTTCAATTTTGGGTACTACCCTAGATAGTTCAGCAATATATTCCAGTAAGAAGTGAATATGGAGATAAAGGGTAGCCCACTTGCATCCTTAGCGACTGGCCTGGTACTTGTGATATTTGCTGTTCAATTAGTCTTCTTGGCTCATTCTTATGTGTTTTTATTTTTGTTTCCTTGTGTATGTTGCAAGAAACTGGCTCTGAAAATGCATCCCAACCTGCCAATAAGTAATTGGCAGCTGTCAGGTTTTCAAACATAAAAACACAGGACATGATTAATTACTTCACGGACTCCCCCCACTTTTTAAACATCCCAGCCATGTTCCTCTCTTTTTCATTATAGCTTTGATTGCAGTCATGAGCATGTAAGAAGATGCCTTTCTATGTTCTAAATAAATTGTACAGATGGCTCTTTTCCCTACATTTATTACAGTCCTTAAAGAACCCTTTCTTAAATGAACATTAGGTGTTGCATATACCTTTTTACTACAATAAGTTAACTAGTTGCAGCAAATCTATAGTTTAGGAACATACGGTATGTGTATTAAAACAGAGCGTGTTTATTTAGACATGATCAGTAGTTTAGGGGGAAAAACACTGTCCAACCTGCCTATTGTTTCACCAATTAAAATGCATATGCTATTTTAGTTGGCTTAAACTTCTACTTTTTATAGGAAATGACATAGGTTTTTGTTAGCATCTACATCAACAGTTCCTAATTTAAACACAATCTTGACAGAATGTTTTAAAATGGGAAGTAGTTTCCATTCCGCCTACCCGACCCTTGTCCCTTGAGAATGACAGCCAATTAACGTGCTGTTAAAAATTAAAAACAGATCAGCTTTGTCAAGGTAATTGCCAGTAGCTGAACTGAAACCACAAAAACATAGTTCAAAATAAAATTTTGACAGCGTTCTCAGGGTCTTACAACTCAAATAGTTTCCTGCTTTCTGCCTTTGTCATGCATGAGACTAATTCAGATAAGTAAAAAAAAAAATCAAAGGTCAGAGTCTGCATGATCACAGAACAGCTCCTGCTGTGCAGGGGCTTTAAAAGGATCCCTCCTTATGCCTTGGACAATAGCTTGACCTCCAAACATTTCCTTTCATGATAAGAAATCTCATGTTCATTGAAGTCCTCCTCCCAAATTATCAAAGGCCCATAAGTGTGGCAGTCCTCTGGTTTTGAAGAAGAAACCCAGAGGACTATCATATTTGAGTGCTCTCCGAGCTTGGTTGTTTTCTGGCAGATGTTTCATTATCAAATAGAAAAGAATATCTGTAGCTCAGAGTTGAACCTAGTTGGGGCATGAAATGTCTGCAGGAAAACCACCAAGCTCAGAGAGCTCCGAGGACCCTGGAGCGGTGAAATGGTAAGTATGCTTTGCTTCCCTCATTGTGTACCATCTTTCACCAACAAGCAGAGCTTTGCAGGCAATTCAACACTACACTTGATAATTGCTAATTCTAACAGAAGAAAATATTTCACAGATGATGTTGCCTAAACGGCTATGGAGATTCTCCCAAAGGTGCTTTTTCAAGAGGCAAATGGACTTTCTTGTCTTTCTTTGAAGTAAAGAAAAACATCCAAGAAGCTTCTTCAACTCTGAGTGGATGTGGGGAATGGAAGGGTTTAGAATCCTGGAAGGAATATAGGAAAACAGGACAAGAAGCAGCAGTCCATCTGCATTTAAAAGACAAAGGCCACATTTTGGACAGAAAGGACAGCAGGTTGGAATGAGGGGTCAAATAGGCCATTTATGTCAAAACTGAACAGCCTTCTCTCGACAGAGGGGGAGAGATATGACATCATCTAACTCCAGTCTACAACATGATCCTTTCAGCAGTTCCAAGAAGGCTCCACACCCATTTGCACCACTCAGATGACCCTGAGGACATAGATAAACCTCCAGGTGACCACAACAACTCTAAAAGGATGCAAATTTCCAGCTGTCTGCAAGGAATATAAATCTTTCCATTCCTCACCATCCAGTCTGAGTGGAAGAAGCTTCTTGGATGAGAAGTGAAATGTCTTCAAAGAAAAACCAGAAAGTCCAGTTACCTCTTGAAAAAGCACCTTTGGGGTGATGATGTTACCTGGTTTGGTAAAGAAACCTCTGTAAGAAAACCACCATGCTCAGAGAGCATCAAGGACCTCTCAGTATTCTGTTGATTTGTGATTAAAAATGGGAGTAGCAGTCAGTGGATCTCCATCCACATCCTACTAGGAACACCAGAGCTATTCAGAATGAATCTTTGTCTTAACCCAGAGGATATAATATATACAGGTAGTCTTGACTTATAACAGTGACTGTTCAAACTTACGTGGACATTGGAAAAAGTGACTTACGACCATTTTTCTCAGCATTCCTATGGTCACATGATCAAAATTCAGATGCTTGGCAAATGGTTCATATTTATGGTGGTCGCAGTGTCCCTGGGTCATGTGATCCCCTTTTGTGAACTTTGAACAAGCAATGGGGAAGCCAGATTCACTTAACTGTGTGACTAACCTAACAAATGCAGTGATTCACTTAGCAACTGTGGCAAGAAAGGTCATAAAATGGGACAAACTCGCTTAACAAATTTTTCACTAAGCAACCTAAGTGTTGGGCTCAAATATGGTCTTAACACAAGGACTTGTATCTTATTTTCACACTGGCAGCTTTTATTGAAAATAGAACTATCAGGACAATATCTCATTCTGGCAGGATGCTATAAAGTATAAACTAAATCAGGTTAAACTTAGTTGGTAGGATCTCCTTTTTTTCACCCACCAGGAAATCTGATCTCTTGACGTGTAAAATGTAGAAAAGACTTATATCCGTAACAGAACGTTCAAAATTGTCAGTAGACAACAATCTCTACAATACATTAGAGGGGAAAGACATTTAATTAACTTTCTTTATTTCACATATTCCTGGCCTATTCAGCTTCTGCTGCCATATAAATTATCCATCCATTATCTCAGGTGTAGAAAGCAAGCCCTTTTATGAATCCAACAGAACTTGTAGTAAATAAACTCTAACATTTCCATCCTAATAAGAAACTAGGCTCTGGCTTGCTACTTATACTCTCCAATGCACGCTGCTGGAAATCCCATCGCAGCCTTGCTCCTCTTCGCTTTGAAAGTTCTAAGTGCCACCGTTGAATAGCCCATCCTAAGGCCCACAGAAGGAGAGGCTCGCGTTTACTCTGCTACGAAATGGTGAGGTGAAGGCGGAAAACATCACCGTGTTCAGTCCAGTTTCAAAAAACTTTGCATTCGTTCACTGAAAAAATGTTCCTCCTTGAGCGTTTTTTGGCTTCATTCACTGCTGTCCGGACGGCACATTCGAACACCTTTTGAACACCTCGATTGGCCAAGGAGGAGCACTCCACGTAACCCTTCGCCCGGATGTCCTTAGCCAGTTGCTTGCCATGCACTAGCTTGATACAGGTTGCGCTGTGAGGACCAGTGTCCCTTTGGTCAGTCTGCATAGCCACCACCAAAATCGGGATTCGGGGTAAATGGGTCCTGACCTCCGTCACCCACTTGTTCCTTAAGCTGTGGAACGAGCTGTGATTGGCCACCGAATAGCACATCAACACCACGTCGGCCTGTTGATAGGACAGAGGGCGGATGCTCTTGAAGGAATCGTTGCCAGCGGTATCCCAAAGGCCTAAGCTGATCTGGGTGCCATCCAGGTAGACATCCACACCGGTGTTTTCATAAACGGTCGGTCTGTAAGTATCCGGAAAGGTCTCCGAAATAAATCGGAGCAGCAGGGCTGTCTTCCCCACAGCAGCATCGCCTACCAGAACGCATTTGACCGAATCCAACATGTCCTCCTTCTCAAATGGAGTTTCTAAACACTACTCCTAGGAATGTTGCTCAGGAAATAGAAAATAATAATGTAAAAAAATCACCTTACTAAGGTGACTGGTGGCATTTCTCTCCCAAAACAATCAAAATGTCCTGCAGGGTTTGGCCACGGTTCCACAATTCACTGAGTCAGAGGAGTTTCCTACAGTGGAAAGAGAATACGGTTGGCGTTTTGGTTGCACATCATTTCCCCATTCCATCCCGTTTCATTTTTGCCCACATGTTTGCACACGTTTGTACAAACTAGAACAATATTATTGTTAGTTAATATGTAACCCTCCCCCTTTAAGGAGTCCACCATGGTGTACATTATATTTAACTACTGGTAGATAATGCCCTGTTTCCCCGAAAATAAGGCTTCCCTGAATAATAAGCCCAGTTGGGCTTTTGAGTGCATGCGCTAAAATAAGCCCTCCCCAAAAATATTGCAACACAGCAGCAGACATGAGGTGACCACGCTCCCCACCTCTGGCATCTCAAAAATAATAAGACCTCCCTGAAAATAAGGCCAAGCACTTATTT